TCGGTCCAAGTATTTCCCCCTTCGTGCTAGGGACATTCAGGAGTATCCATTCCCACCGCCGGACTGGTGTGCCCAGTACGATACGGCAGATATTAAAAGAAACCAGCAATGAAATATACAGTACCGCCCAAAGCTCACCACCACCAGCTCAAGTTACCCATTCAGTCCTACTCACCGACGGCAAAGAGGGGGGATAAGGCAAAAATGTGCAAAATCATACAACCACCCCCCATCAATAGCTCTTTTTGTGGGAATTCCACTCCACTCGACTCCCTTCTTCTCCTCCTTCCTTCCTTCCTTCCTTCCTACCCTTTTCTCCCCTCCCTTTTCCTTGGCACTTTAAACCCCTGATCACATATGCAGGCAAGGTTGTCCAAGGCTGAACGGACAGACAGACAAACAAAAAAATAAATAAAAGAATAAACCCCCACCACCACTTCTTCATAGTTAAGCATGATACAGTATTTTTTTTTGCTACAGCTCCGAAGAGAAAGAAACCCCCACAAATGGCGGACTACCCCCGTGAGGACACGAACACATCCGACAACCTCGCGCCGAAATGAATCACAACCGCAAGTCGGCGATACGGTACGCCCCATCCATCCATCCATTCATCCATCCGCCCGTTCGGCGATAATGCACTCCAGCCTTGGTCAGATCGGGGAGGGAGGATTTGCCGGGCGGGGGGAAGAGATGGGAGCAGCAAGAATAGGAGACGAGCGAACGAAGGGAGGAACAAACTGTAGATACGAAATTCCCGGGCTGCTAGCCGGCCCCCCGAATACGAGGAGAAAGCTATGTTAAGCCGCCCTATTATATTAGGTGGGGTACATTACATTCCACAGGCTGAAGTGTGTCAAAGTGCTTACTGACATGCGGGTAATAGGGGATTCCGCTTTGTGGGTGCCGGGAGGGGCGCTGTTGGTTTGTGCTGTGGGGAGAGTTCGGCGGTCGATACTTGGATAGTAGGTTACTTGCTGCGCTTGGGTTGGGAGTCGTCGCCGTGATTTGGCTGGAATATTTGTCTGGCAGTTCCGTGGAGTGTCCATCCATCCATCCATCCATCTATCAAGAAGGAGTTAGTAAGTCAGGGGAAATACAGGGGGGGGGAGGGAGGGAATGAAAGCCGTTCCTCCATTGCTATCCTTTTGCTCCACATCCTGCCCTCAGCGCCCATATCCCCCCTCTAAAGTATTACAAGTGCCTGATCCTCCGTGTTTTCGTCGAGCACCTCGTAGCAGGAGCAGCTGTAACACAACTCTTCTGCAGTATCATAGTGATGTCGCAATGGTATCAAAACGGTTTACCCATTCCCAGGGGGCGTCAGAAATGCGCTGGATGTCAAGTTAAAATGAGGGTATCAATCGTAGGGAAAGCTAGCAGGCGTCTAACAGTCACTCCTACAACTGGATCAGTCGATGGCCAGGCTATTAATCAATGCTCACCAGCTATACCCGTAGGAAAAGGAAGAGGAGGATATCATAATACCCATCACACTATCCTACCGCCACCACCCATCACTCGTTCCGCCCGAAATTCTCTCACCCCCTTCTCCCATGCGCGATCTCCCTTGCCTAATCTAACCAAAAAGCCGGTAACCCTCGCCAACTTATCACATCATACCACCCTGAAAAGGCCCCGACACCCAGACCATCATAT